TTAGTCCGTGATCTGATGGTACTCGGAGAAAAACTTTGTAACATTGATTCTTAAGGGTGTCTATATTACTAAAAATAACTTTCACTCGGGACAATGATGCTTCGTACATGTGTGAGAACGATATATCCAGCAAAAACGCATCAATAATCTCGATAAGATACGTTTATTTGCATAATGTTGAAACGTTTGGAAAGGATTATTAGGAACGTCGCGTGTGAACGTTACTTTAAGAATCTGTACGTTTTCATCAAGAACCCACAATTCAAATCTAAAGTTCAAGAACATGGAAGATCTATTTTCAACAGACTCCTCATTTTGCATAGGCAAAAAGTGTTCAGAAATATTCGTCCGCATTCTTCACGGGACATTACAACAACGAAGAACACGTTATCGGCGTTGATCCTGCCCAGAAGCAGACCGAAGGACATGAATCATCGTAATTCTAACGAGTTTAATCCTTTTAAGACTTAAGAGTCACCGAAGGAAACGAAACGAGATAGAGAGAGGGAAAAAAAATGAAATAAAACACGAAGGTTCGACGACGAAGTAGGATGACTTATCGAGAGGGAACCAGGGAACACGTTACCCGCCATAAGGTTCACGAACTCATGACTCATTTCGCGTCACGCAATGACACCAAGCATGTAAGCCCCACAATTTTCTTCGCTGACCGTGTAACGCATCGCTGGTGCTTCCAAGAATCGACGATATCGTACCCCGACGTTTTCGTCTTCTATTTTCATGTTTCTCGATCTCTGACTTTTCAACGCCGATACGATAACCCTGGAACCGGATGATTTTCCATCGCGTAGTATTCGATCCTCCGCCATTTTTTTCTTCTCGTTTCACGATCATCGATATCAGGCGAGAAATTCATTGAATCATTCTTCCTCTCTTACCAATGGTCTCAAAATTGATTGGTCAAACTGTAGCGTAACAAACGACAGTAACTTGCGGATCTATAAGCGTAGGAGGGGCTACAATCGTATCCTCACCTGATAGCGCAATAGACAGTGAAGCGCTCCTCTTATCTCACGGTGTACCCTCAGGTCAATTCTTATCGGAAACCATCAATAACAACCGCGAATCAGTGAAAGTCCTTGTAACCGAGGGAAAAAAAAATCTACGGACCCGAGCACAGGGTGGAGGCTACGGAAAGAAAAGCAGCTGGTGTCTAGTTAACACGCCTCTGGCTACCTTTAAGGGCCAATTCTTGTCGGTCCGACTAATTAGCAGGGTGGCCCGACAGAGATCTACGCGTAACTCGATATCAGATTTCTCCGCCGCGACAAATCGATCCCCGCCGCTGTATCATCGTCGCGCGGAACGTATATAACGAGGGAATCGTATAGATTTTAACCTGCAAGCTGGTGTCGGATTCAAAGTCGCGGGGGGTATCGTTTTCAAAGGTGAGTCATAGATGGTTAAAGGTGTTGTGGACTGTACATATAATTTTATGCAGTAGATACCATCTGTATCATTTAAGTACATAATTAGCGAATGACAAATAATCTATCGTAGGAATCTATTAAATTTAGCAAAGATGCGAATTTTCACGTTAGACTCGGGCCAACGAGGTATAATCATGCCGTTGTGATCGAGCCAGTAGTCCGGGCTAGTCCGAAACTATCGATTACAGAGCATAACGCGTGCGTCTATATCAACCCTTTTAGTGGCGACGTATCGCCCTTTGAAATATACGCCAGAACAGCCCACGAACACGATATAAACCGGGTGCTTCCGTAACCGTTTAAACGACCGTAATTCACTGTCCTTCGGTGGGAGGATCCGTGCAAAGAAAGACTTGATTCTGATACGGAAGGAATGCAATTTCGGTTCTCAAAGGATCTTTGCTGCCCCCCTTCGACCATTAAACCTTAATTTCCACATTATTCTCCGGATTAAATACAAAAGGTTTGGCGATTCGATGTGTTTTTCGAAGGTTTTCCACTTGTCACCAAGCGATTAGTTGGACTTGGAAGAATGTGCAATATAATTAAATCATGGGAAACTCACTGTGAAGCGAGTGAAAATTGATAAAAAATAATTGCGGAACAATGCGGATATGACGCGACGCGACGTTTGTTACGTCATTTCTTGTAAAACAGGCGTCACAAATGATTACATTAGTTTGTGAGTCATTCCCGCTTCGCTAAGTGAAGGTAATAGTAATTTTGCACGAAACTATCGGTACCGATGCACGTACAACGTACTCTTTCTCCGAATGAAATCTACGTTAATTGAGACCTTTCATTTCAATTGCAATATCTGCAGAAATTTTTCGTGACCATATAAACTCGATAAATCGATTTGATAGTTGGTTAAGAAATTTCTGAATCAATATAAGGGTCCAGTAAATTCGTAAAATGACGAGATTTATCGATAGTAGCATTGAGGATGAGAATGACGATGGTGGCAAGTTATCGGTGGCAAAACAGATAACGAATTTGAAAGCTACTGCGTGGCCGATTCGACGCGACTTTTATTAGTCTGCCTTTTCGAAATTTTTAACGCTTGCTATTTTCTCTAAATAGCGCGAAAATGCTTTACCCTTCGTGATTCGATTTAAATTGCGGCGTGAATAAAGATGGCCGTTTGGAATCCCGAAAAAAGAACAATCAGAAACCGAATTTCGAAGCAACGAAGTTGATTTTCGAAATCTACAAATTGTGCGTTTTCTAAAATTTACAAAAGCTACAATTGTATCTCAGATACACGAAACAACGAGGAGAAAAATGATGCGAGAACAGAGAAAGAGAAGTAAAAAAATTCGAGGAATGAGCAATCGAATCTAAAAATGCATAGCGGCAGTTCTGCGTGATTTTGATATCGAATATCGCGTACAAACACGTACAGAGAAAAGAAATCAGCGTTGAACAGAAAACAAGGAAATCTTGCGAAGGAAATCCACGCGTACTTAAAATACTCGACATTGTTTCATTTAAAAACTTTTTTTAACCGACTCTTTTAAAACAGAAAATTCTTTACTTCAATTATAATTATCTTTTAATGGTTTCGCGGTAAACTAATTTAGAAAGAAACGTTTAACTACGATTTTATTCTGTTATCAAAAGAATGCATACAAATTTACAGTTAATAACAGTATTTATTATTCTAAAGTTGATACCACTGATTATATATTTTTTAAGGGGATTTTCAATAATTAGATGAGGCTTCTATGAAATTCAAAACGGATTGTAACCCCAGAATTTGCAGATCACGTGACACAACTGTGTACTCTTTGGTACAGCTATTTAATGGCCACGGTAATTAACAAAACTTTCATCTTTGTCGTCGATCAATAATACATTCGCATTTATCGATCACCGAATTAGAATATTTCCACGATACGCAACACGTTGCTCGATGCACCTCACTGAATCGCGCTGTTATTAGACCGTCGATCATTGTTTTTGTTCCAGCGAAATCAGTTTCGGTTCTGGAGAGATTAGACGGCTGCCGATCTTTCGCGTGAATATTTCTGTGTGTTCAATGACAAGCGTAGTGGCGTTCTAAACGCGAGAGAAACAAATATTCGACGCACAAGCGTTGCACGTTGCTGGGTTTCTTTCTTCCCAAGTCACTTCCTGTCTTGCGGTGACTCACGTGAATCACCGGCGAGTCAGGAAGACGAAACAGGGAAAGTGTTTAAGACGACCGCAGTAAGATAAAATTTATAGTGTTACTGTAAATGTGACAAAAATTATGTTATTCTATATTGCACCGTTGAACTCTAAGGAACATTTCTGCAGTGAAAATAGAACTTGAATGAAACACAGGTACAGTTAGGTACTGTATGTATATCTAGGGATATTTGAAACATCGTACATAACAAAGAATTTATTTACTTAAAAAGAACTTTAAACATTCGAAAACTTTTTCGACATTGTATATGACCAATAATATCATAGAAAGGGACTACATTAATTAAACAAATTCCAATGAGTTTACCATCTACAATAGTTTGGTAGCATTATCTATGGTCTAATCACCTGAAGAACAAGACAAAGCATTGACTTAAATCTTTGACAGTTCAACAAAAAAATGCGACACAGATTGTGATTCACAAATGAATGAATCCACTATTGGAAAAAAACATATTAGGCTCTTCCCATAAACTTTGTATGCAAACGAAATCGAAAGTAAAACCTAGAACACTGTGAAAAACGCAAGACTCATGGATCAACCTAATAATACATTGTAGCCTACATTCACCGTGCAACTCTCGTCCTTGCCGGTGTGCTCTGCGGGTTTTCGCGCGAACGTAACGACCGTTTTATCTAAACTGTCTGATAAGCTGATCTGTCGAGATAGTAGGCCCTAGTAGCATGTAGCAGTAGTGGTGGTAGTAGTAGTAATAGTAGTAGTAGGAGGTTACATCCCGAGTTCGAGAGAGCAGACCGGTGTCCACTCTAAGACAGCAATCAGAACAGTTTAAAAATTTCGACGTCCAATGTGGGACACATTACCTCAAGAAGATATTGCCCATGTTTCTGGAACTGGCCCTCGACTTTTTTGGGGCCCGGACCGCATAAAAAAGTCGTTCTACTCACGCGAGGAGGGAATCATTAGGTCCATCCCATATCTACTTGATTTGAAGCTAAAAAAGTTAGAAGACGTTAGGATAATCGGACCTTCATTCCATAAGCTAGAACCAGCTTGATAGTCGGACCTAACCTGCACGAGAACTCGGTCCCCTTTCAAGGCATCCAAATACCATTTGACATGAGAAACTGACGACATCACAACATTGGATAAATGTGACCGATTCGACGTCAAGAATAAGGACATGCGAGAAAATGGACGCTTGATGTATTGTCTAATTGAGAAAATAGTGTCGATCGGGCACCGCCTGAGAAAACGCGCGGGCGGCCACCGTGCATGATTTCCGGCGGCGTTTGCCTGGCGTGCCACGCCACAAAGACCTCATGGGGGGGTTGGACGATGATCTTTTTTTAGAAACCGCATATCCCTATCGAGACAACGGTTTTCCCTCTTACCTTGGCGCCTTCAAAATATTCTCTGAATCCGTTCAGCGTCCTCGGTTATCGGTATCCTCGTTTCTAACGGCCCTCTATGTCGCACTGTTTCCGTCTCTCCCTTTCTTCCTCGCGCACTCCTTCGTTTACTATCCGCGTCTCTCTCTCTTGTTCTCTCTTTATTTCTCTGTCCCTCTTTCGCCGTCCTTGTCCACGGCCCACTGTATCCCAATCTACAGAAATTCTCCGGCGATTACTCGTTTCCTACTGCTGTTCTCGGTTCGTCGTCCAGTCGACTTGTCGGACACATCGAAAGCCAAAGAGACGATCCGTGGCTCTGTCTCTCTATGATCGGTATACGAAAACACGACCGAACGAAAGAAACGAACGTGTCACTGCCTGAGAAATTCCCCGCTGGTCGAGGAGAGTCTTGCGCGGCGCGCCGCGGGTGCACCGAAGCTCCTCGGGTCACGGTCCTCCTCCTCCTCTTCGGTCGCTTCGAACAGCCGATTACTCACTGTCCTCAAGGCGGCCCGGATCACATACCACCGGAATAACTTGGGTCCCGTGGACGAATTTCTACTCCACGGGGACTACTCGCGAATACAGAATTCCCCCTCGATTTCGTAGCACTCTCGCGAAAAACCAGCACGACACCAGCCCACGATTCTACCGTTATCTAGGGCGATGCCTCTCTGCTGCTCGCCGCTTTGCCCTCTACCCGTGACTATACGATAGAGAGCCGCATAGGTGGGGAATTAAACGAGATGAACGCCATTCAAGTCTGCTTTACCAAACGGGAATCACCGAAATCAGGCATGACACGTGACCTTCCGGCGGATATGCCACCATCGGAACAAACGTAAGAAATAAGCGGGACATTTGAATGTAAACGTGGTCCATTCGATCATAAGTGGGTTTATATTTCAATTACATTTAAAAATGCATCAACGTCGAACGATTTGATAGCAATTACAAGAAATAGATAGTAATAAAATTGTAATACAATCTGTATCCTATCTGTATATGTTTATCTATTAACATACGCAGTGAGAAGTGATGAAGTAGAATGGAAACTCGACTGAATAACATATGTGAACAGTGCCTACTCATACGTGGTGTTATTATCAGGATAAAATCCCTAGCAAATGCTCATTGCTATTGGTTCCGAGACCTGGACCGAGGGATCGTAAGAAAATTAATATTTTACACTTTCTTGTGACACTTTTTTTTGTCAAGCTCGGAAATTAAAGTTCAGAAAACGTAGATCAAGTCCCAGGAAGTGTGAATTAAAAGTAATTACAACATCACAGTTAAAACTGTCATTGATTACGACAATAAGGTAGTGAAATAATCCTTAAATCCTTTTAAGACACTGAATTGTTTTGTGATGTCTCCTGCATGAATATTACTTAATAACAGCTGTTAATTGCTGCATATTTTAAAATGTTAGTCAAATTAGTGATATAAAATTTTCTCAGAGGTCACAGTAGCGTTATCTATTGACATGTGCTACTACTAGTATTTGGCTAGTAGCTTAAACGTTTTACCGTAGATGGCATAGTGTGTCACTTTATAGTTAAGAACCTTTTCTTCAGATGCTGATAGATGTTAATTCGAGCGCGTGTTTCTTTTGTCTTTTAATTTTATTCTGAATAACTATTTATGTGCAATGGAATCTCTTCAAGAAATGTGTCAATACTTACGTCCAGGAATGCGATTAGATTTAAAAGCCGTTGCCTTGGAACACGTACTCAGTGAGTACTTTTATTCAAAAAAATATTTTTTAACCTTAATCTTTGCTAGTAAACGGATTCTTTTTTATTTATGATCTGAATGGAAAATGTACAAGTTTTATGATTAATAATAAACAACAGGTGTAACTGGAACAACCGAAGGACGAGAACTTTTATTGAAACTTCCAGAATTACTAACTCAGTTAGTTGTTTTAATACAAGACTCCTCTACAGCAATTTCTAAAGATGCTTCTTTAGCTTTAATAAATATAACTGCAGAGGAAGCAGGGACCAGCGCATTCCTACTGATCTCAGAAATGTCTAAACAGAGTCAAGATACAATATATAATTACAATTTAATACATGTTTGTATTAGGTAGATACTATGTTCCTTAGCTAAGTAGCAGTATTTCTTCTGGTTTGAGTTGAAAGTAAATATTTCCAGATTTATAATGGATAAGGAGAGTACCTTAGCAGATCCATGTTGTATGATACTTTCTAACATGACCAGACCATTGCATTTAGTTGATAGAGTTGTAATACTTATTGAAAAAAGTAAATATACGTGGGATAGTATAATTGTTGCATTTACTGCCAAACAGTACAACAATACAGGTGCTAAACTACATTATTTAGGACCTGTATTTAGCAACCTCAGTCAATCCCCAAGAGTCAGAAGGTACATACAAATTGGTTAATGCATTGAAACAGTATTTTTCATTTGTAATAACAATTTCTGTTTCACGATTGGGCATAGATATTTAATGGACAGAGAACGTAGTGTTATCCAAAGGCTATTCCCTTTCACAGAATATACAGATAGCATATTAAGACGTGGTGGAATAGTGGGTACACTAAAAAATTGCTGTTTTGATGTTGAAAATCATGAATGGCTGTTAAGCCCTGAAGTAGATATTTTGTCTTATCTTCTGTTGCCATTGGCTGGTCCAGAAGAGTTTGATGATGAGGATAATGACAAACTACCAATTAGTTTACAATATTTGCCAGAGACCAAAACACGGGAACCAGACTTAGATATTAGGTGAACAAATATATTTCTAAGGTTGTATTTTAGGGGACTAGCCTTAGGCAGAATTGTAACTTTAGGTTGTTTTAGGATAATGTTGCTGGAGGCATTGGCCCAGCTGTGTGCCACAAAGCAAGGTAGGGAGACATTGAGGGCAAAGAATACTTACGTAATACTCAGAGAGTATCACAAATGGGAAAAGAATACAAATGCCCTACTAGCTTGTGAAAATGTTATAGACATTTTAATCAGGACTGAAGACGAAATAGGTTTAGATAATTTGAAGGAAGTAGAGGTTCCTTCTGAGTACACAGAGAAGTTTCATCGAATGGATAAAGATTTTATTAATAGTACACGATAGAATGTTTTTAAAATAAATTTTATGAACAACACTGTTTCTTTATTTCATTGATACTGCACACAATGTACATAATAGAATAAGAACAATGAATGATTCTCCAAGTGATTCGAAATATTGCATTCTTCCTTTCTTTAATGCAATAGACTATCTTTAGTTACATTAAGTTTCTCAGGTCCAGTGTAGCAACAAAAATAAATACATATGAATGAAAAATCTCATTCAACCACAATCCTCTAAGTAAGACTATGCGAAATTTGATTAAACATTATTGGAGCTTTGTTTAACTCTTGAAGTAATTAAATGCCTTACTGCTTTTTTAGAAATCAATTTTGAAAACAATGTTTTTTCAAGTCCTTAATAATTTTAGTCTGTATGTTCTAGGTTCTCCTGTATAAATTAGAAGAATAAAATGTATAGCTTTGTATAAAGCTTACAAGCAACGAAACAGGTACTTGTAAGAATATCGTAAATTCGCTTTTTTTCTTATAATGTATCGAGTAATTCGCTAAACTTATTTCGCTCGACTCAAAGCCACTTTTGCTGAGATCAAGTCTCGCAGAAATGAGAGTATGATACCGTTATAAAGAGGATTGGTACATTTCTGACACATTTCTGCGTAGCCTGTAGATAAAAGTACCGTTAATTAATTATTACCCGTATGTCCGGTATATTGATCGTGTACATCGATCCGTCGGTCGTTTCTTTCTGGAAATTATTTGTAACTAAAGTTGAATTCTGATCTAAACATGAATTTCACTTTTCTTTTCTTAACTGGCTCAAACTTGCATAAATAAATGCCTGCACATTTCTAGTTTCATTAATTAACGCTATTGAATAATTTAATGCATATAATTAAAAGTATAATTTAAACGATATTGTTATCACTAGCATCCATATTCGAACTATCTTAACTTTTTGTTTATATTGTGAAATATCTCTACAGAATCTGATCAAAAACTTCTAGAATAAGTTACTTGAAAAATTATATCCATATAAATATTAATTTCATATTAATCCCTTTTGGAATAAGTCATGTCCTTTCTGATACTCTTTGGCACCTTTAGCATCAATTATTCCACAATTTTTTCTCGTTATTTAAGTATTCTCATTAATTTGTACCATTAACTTCATTCTATTCGGAGTAGTTAGGGATATCTTAATGAAATTTTGTTTCCTCGTTTATTCATAAAACAATACTGACACATTGTATCTAGCCGTTTTATTCTAGACACCTATGATATGAATTTTCACCATTTGAAATTCTTTGATCAGATCACATAGCATGGGAAACATGATGATCAGGGTAAATAGCCCAGTCCAGCTTCCAGACTAATGGAACTCCTGACACTGGAGGCATTACTGGCTCGTCTGCTGATTCTATTCGAATCAGAGCCGAAGATAGCTGCGATTTCCGCGCTTTTTTTGATCGAAAGAGCCTCATGGTGGGCCCCGGATCTACTGGAACAGTGCGAGGTACACTTCTTGTCCCTCTCAGCACCACCGACATAGACCAAACGTCCCTGAGTGTCTCTGGCACTAACGACTAGTACCTTCTCGCTGTCGGAGGATTGCTGAGATTTTCTTCCTGGATTGAATAGATCGTAATCCAAGGCTAGATTATTCGAACTGCCGTAGCTTGACGATGACTGCTTCTGGAATCAAACGTTGTAGTCGTTAAAATTGATCCAAGATATATATTTTCAGTGTAAATGTTGTGTGTTATTGCAACAAAGTAGTATTGGACAGAACGAGAGCTCTATCTTGTTACCTTGAGTACATCCAAACCTTGAGAAGGCGTTCGATTTCTGGTCGTTTTCGCCGCCCGGATCCTCTCTGGACTTCCCCCTCTGCTCAGGGTGCTTTCAGAGGGTACGATGCCTCTTTGTCTAAGTTGCTCTAATATCGTCGGTTGAATCTGTTGATTCGGTTGTCGGGCACAGTAACATTTGTTACTCTCTGAGCAGCTATCTGTGTCGCAGGCACAAATGACTGTATTTGAGACGACTTGTGGTTGTGGAAGGACCCTTCTCGATAATGAGCAATAACACTTGTCCGCCGAGACACAGGTGCAAGACTCGGAGTCGTAGCTGCACTCGCTGCAACTAACGTAACCGCTGCTACTTCTGTTCGCGGCTGCACCTACGTTGCGACTCAATCGTCTACCTGGAAGCATCAAGTCCATTGTATTCGACTCGGCTATACACTTGCCATTGACCTTCCAATATACTCACAAGTATCGCTGTCCTCCGAAGTGGTGTGACAACCAGGCTTATTCCCCCTCCAAGAGGATCTTCTCTTCACCAGCCTGTTAGCCAAAACGCGATTTCTATGATTGTTCCTAACGTCACACGATGAGCTACTACCGAAACTGTCGTTCAATCTCCTTGCTGGAAAGATCACGGAAGTGAATTCCGTTGGTCCTCCCTTTAATCTCGACACGGATCTCTTGATGGCCCTACCCAACAAGCAGGTCCGGTGACTCGATCCTCTTCGTTGGGGCCTTCGGCGTCTTCTCATTATACTGGCCGACCTCTGATACAGTTCATCCTGTGTTAACGTTGCTGCTAATTTCAACAGGAATTCTTTGTACAGGGGTTTCAAATCGTTGAAGGACATTCCTTCAGGGTCTAAAATCGGGCACGAGAAATCATTAATTAAAGTACAAATGGGACATAGAAAACTCTGTCTCGCAGATAGTACTTACCAATAATGGCTGCCAAGATGTCATCTACGCTAGTCAGGCCTTCTTGATTCCTGAACTCGTCGAACAACTCGGTGAACCCTAAAGGTGTTCCACCCTTAATGCTATTCGGTCTTCTTGCGCTACCAGGCTTCAAGAAGCTGCCCCTTCGAGGTAGCTCCACCCTAGTCATCAAGTCACCTCTATCCATGTCTATATCGCTCTGAGACCTCTTCAATCTACCCTCTTGTAGAATTTTCATTGCGTCCTCCGAATGACTAACAGGAGGTTCGCTGCCTGCTCTGCTCCTCTTTCTAACTCTTGGTTCACTGTACTCAGGTAGGTTCAGATTCGACGTGGAATCGCTCAGGTGCTTCCTCAGAGGCTTATCCATGGTAACCACTCGACTCACTCTCCTTCCAGTCGAGACCTTCTCCTGATCCCTCGAACGTCTACGTTCCACGGATACAGATTCTCCAGAGTTTTCTTGGACCCGCTGATAGGTGTCGCTTCTCGAGGACCTCCCGAAGAAAATATCCTCCTGAGAGCTCTTTACCTTGCTTCGATCAAGTCTGCTGCTCCTGCCGCTATAAATATCCTCATGGGCGATGCTGTAGATTTTGTCTGCATCTTTGAAATGGTCCTCGTAGAGCCTCTCATGGCTGTTTCGTTTCCTGCACCGTTCGTACATCGAGTTCTCTTCGTCCTTGCAACCGAGTTTGTCGATTCTGTCGTAGATCAAAGACTCAGGTCTAGAAGAATATATTTGTTGTTTCTTCACAGCCTCCACAGAAGGATTCAGATCGAATTCATTCGGAGGACTCTGCTTTCCGGGACTGGTAACCTTCTCCACTTTTGCTTTCACAGGAAGTTTCTCGTACCTGTTCAATAACTTTTCATAGAATCCACTGGCACCGATGTCGTAAGATTTTTCCGTTTGACCCACGAAATTATTCACCACATCGGCCTTTTCCGACGTGGCAGACTTGCTGTCAGATTTGTTTTTGGCATTCTGTCGTTCCTCTTCCTTGGACGTCCTCGAATCGAAGCTTTTCTGAACGGAACCAAAAGTCTGAATCGCGGGACTACTAACTTTCTCCTTTGGATTCGGCTCTCGGCTCCTTCCTCGAGCTTCCAGAATGTCCTCCGCTTTGACGTCCGAGTTCTTTTTCTTCCTCCTTGGCGCTTTCTGAACCTCCGACAGTTTTCCACTGTCGTCTTCGGTGACAGAGCTGGAGATCGAGCTTTTCTTCGTCCTGGGTGGCCGGACTGGATGTGCGGTCGTTGGTAACGCACCTTCTACTTGCGGAACATTTATCCTAGAACTGATTCTGCTGCACGGACTAGGCTCTCGAACACTAGACGCGACGGACGCCAAACTGACGCAGCCGACACCGTTCGTGTGCCTTGGACGACGCCTATTCGTGTCTAGATCAGCGAGCAGAGCCCTGTAGAGGGTCGCTGCAGCTGCGACTGCATCCTCCTCTATATTACAAGCGAACGCGTGGCATTCCAACACCCTGGTTGCTCCTGTCCTCCTCATCACCACCGCGAATATCGGCGGATAGCAGTCCACGGTGGTTTTCAAACCCCTCATTGTCCTGTAAGTGATTTTCTTCTTGGTCAAAACCATAATTATATTCTTTAATACATCAACCAGATAATTTCGTATACTCTAGCAGGGTTAAATTCGTATCAGAGACATTCCAGGTGAAAGTTTATCGGAGTAGAGATCACTAAAAATGATTGACGATCAACTGAGTATCTCGGAAAAATATTCGTCTCTCGGAACGAATACGTGTCCCGATGGCCGTGTACGCTTTCAAAGCGGCCATGGTATCGCGACGATTAATTTCGGTGTCGCGTGACCGATTAATTTCACCGGCTTTCGTTCACGATACTCGCCTGTAGAGATCCGCGTGCTTGTCCTCGCCGGCCTGGCCCTGATCCTGATCGCCGACCAACGGCAGGAAAGCGTGGTGCCAATCGCCGGACGGTGTCCTCTTGCAGCGTAGCCGTAGTGCGCTCCACACGGCGATACGTCGGAACGGATTGTTCCTCTCGCAGCCGTCCATGGTGCGGAAACACAGACCGCGTCTGGACACCTCGAGTTCGGCCCTCGTCGAGCACTCCATCCGTTCTAGAAGCTGGCGAAGTGGCTCTTGAAGCCCGCGGACGCTCGCCACGCGGCCTCCAACCGAAGCTGCTCCCATGTACTTCACCTGCGAGCGACAATGGGTCAGTCGGAATAATTTATTTTAATTGTCGCCTCACAAGTACCTTCGTATCAAGTACCGTCCTGATTCCAACAGTGTTGGTATATGTAACCGTTGTAAGTTATTCAGCGTCAGTTTAATCCGAAACGTGATATTTCTAATAATTCTTTGCATTAGAAAGTTTATAGATTAATTCATGATGTAGCGATAAGAATTTCAAGAAATTCTTCGATACGTCTTTCGATGAAATCACGTTGAAATCTGGCGGATAGAACGAACATTCTGTCGTTGTCAACTCGGTATTGTAATGTACTTTTTTGAATGCTCACGGCGTGGCTGTTCGTTTGGCACAGACATAGTACAGACGGGCGAATTTACATGAACTCGTTGCCTAGATCCTCGCGTTTAACAGACGCCGCTCGGAAACACCAGGGAACGTGCATATTTGCATAAGACGAATCTGTCGGGGGTGTTACTTTTATCCAAAGAATTTCATTCCTTAATGCGCACAAATTCGCAGCACATTATGGTAATCAGGATACTCACTTTTCGTTTACAGTTAACCGAACGCCGAATATGCATATTTTTTGTTAACATTACATCAGACGACCTTTTAATGAATAATTATTAATAGGCGTTCGGTGTGGGGGTCGCAAAAATTTCTCACGTCCCGCTGTTGGATTATCGAAATCCGTTTATTTCGCGGTAGGCTCCGTAGTAATGTACACGGTGTTCATTATGTACAGTATAATTTGATAGACTCGGATAGATCATGGATCCGACTGAGTCGATTAGACATGAACTCTATTGAACTCGGTTGCTCCGAGAGGAATCATCGATGGCGCAACGAAACGATGCGGAAGAGGAGGCCAATAAAACCGTAGCAATAAGAAAAATCCGCGTGCCGATGCGGCAACGAAGGGGAATTTTTCAGTGCTCCAAATAGGCTCGGTAGCCCGTCACGCTCCGTGAATCGTGAACGGAATGAAAGTGACGATTAAGAATGCCAGGACGACGCCGACAAGAGGAAAGTCCGAGTCTTTCTTATCTTTTGGCAAGCTTTAGAACTACCCGCGACTGCTCTTTCCGCGAGAAATAACAGGAATTCTACGTCTTCTAGCACACCTCACTTTGGAAATCTTGCAAAAATGTACCGAGATATTTTACATCGTACATTCTTTCAATTTTCCATCTTTCCGCGTTTCCTAGTCTCTTTGAAAAATTCGATTTCTACGAGGAAAGTTTCCTTTAAATTACACCTTAGAAACAATTTACCGTCCGATTTCCACGATTTCTTGAGTATGTATGTATGTCGATCGATTAATTCAGAGAAATTTGCGGTCGAAGTCACCAGAAATATTAATTTCTTTGTCGTTTTTTCAACTTTCAGCCTTCGTAATTTTATACATGTCAATATTTTTTTAGAAAACCAAGCGAGCAACAGTATGCAATTTTTTTGTTTCATCTGCACTTGAGTTGTAAAATAACGTTGATCTTCTCTTCGAAAGTCTTAACGCGGTCGTCGTCTTTTCGAGCAATCAGTTCACGACTAATTATACGCCGATCTAAATTTTATTTCTGCCCGAGACAGCCTCGATTCCTCGTTTTTATTTCTGTTAATCTTACGATAAATCGTACAATATCAAGGTTGTATAAATTTCGCGAAATGGGATAACATGTTTGAGATTTCATCGCTAGTGAAGAAGGTTCTTTCGGTTCCGAATCGCGTTATTAGAGATCTCAACGCCAGAGAAGAAGATTCTTTGAACGAACCGCGTGTTTGTTCATTTTGCAAAGATAGGAGCACGGAGATTTTCGCATTGTTGGGATAAAATATACGATTGGTGCGTGATCGGCGGTAATGTTCGTTAACGAAGTAGGTGAATCCTCCATAAAGAGGTGTAGACAGTTTCGAACCCGTCTCGAGAGTGGAACGAATGGCCATTCCCGTGCGATATTCCAAGGAAGGGAGAAAAGCTGGGACTCGCGGACGAATTAACATAAGTGAAAATCTTTTTTTTTCTTCTTCTTGTGATTGTATCTAATTGCAGTGAAATCTTTGCGACTGTTCTGACTAGCAAAGACATCTCTTTCTATCGAATATTGTGACTAACAATATCGAGATTGCATAAACGCGTACAAACAGCTTCAAAAAAGGAGCGTCGATCATAAGGAAAAAGAAGTGATCTAAATTACAACGGTGGAACGGTGTCGTTGCCCCGAAAAACCGGACTGTACGCTGACACGAAAGCAGCTTGGAAAAAAATAAAGAAGAAAGTAATTTATATATTTACCGGCAAAATGGCGGCCGCGCATTCCCCGGGTGTTCCGCTTTCGGCCTCCACGGAAGCGAACATCGCCTCGATTCGCGCCTGGACTGCGCTGTTCACTCGTCTCTGTTCATCCGCGCCGGTGGTATCCTCGATGTTGTTCGAGTTCATGGTGGACACTGCCCCGTACCATCCGCCCATCGTGGACCCGTAAATCGATCTGAACCGGTATCGGTAATTCAATATACTTTAACTGTAACGCTGGGGGGGGGGGGGGGGGAGGGAATCGAACGATCTGGTAAAAAGTATCACCGAAAACGGTACCTAGAGTCCTCGAAGAGGGCGTCGATCCGAGCCTTGCTCCTGAGGGAGCACTCCGACGGGGGCCCAGCCAACCGGAAGCCATCCTCGTAACGGGGCATCCCTACGCACGACATTCTCGTGTTGTCCGTTCGATTAGACGATCCACGGGTCCAGGTGTACACCTCGCGAGCTCCCCAAAGCCTCTCCAGACGTGCTTTCGTTAAACGACCTCATTCGTTCTGGAACAATCGAATCGGTGTCGCCAAAAGACCCAATGGGGAGCTACCTGCAAGATAGTTAGATCGAGCATCGCGATAAAAAAGTTCACAAAGCTACGCCACGATGAAAAAATGCTTCGTGGATCGGGGCGAGGGACGTTGGTCGGGGATCTCCCCAGGATCTCACCTCATTTCCACGGACCCTGCTCCCCAGCGGCCGTTAAATTTATGCGAGACTACGGCACGTCGGACGCTAGTAATTAAAACTGTAATTGCCGACGAGATTGCACTAGGAGTTTTCCATTGAGGAACGAAAGATTTGATGCTCGATATGGAGTAAAAGTGATTTTCATCATTTTTGGGGTTGTTCTCGAGCCCTGAGCCCTCATTCTATCTCGTACGTTTGATTATACCACTTCGAGACACTCGAATGTTCTCAAAAAAAAAAAAAAAAAAAAAAAAAAAAAAAAAAACAAAATGAACGTTCGTCGTGTTTTTCAGTATTTTATGGACTAGAAATCGCAGACACTACTTGATATTCGTTCGTGCAGAATTATCGCGTGCCCGCCATCGACACGACTGCAGGCTCGATTTTCACCGGCGATGCGTGAGACTCGATGCGTTTCTTAATTGAAAAAAAAATTCCCTATTATTCGACGTTTACGACGAAGAATGTTTTCACGGTCCTTTGTTATCTTACTGGACTGACTGGAGCATGACTATTAGATACACATACCGTCCGATGTAATGTTATTCCTAAACATGTCCATTTGATCACATTAACGGTCCCGTGAGAGACGCGTGATCGCAACACGCCCCCCTCCCCTTCCCCGACGTGATTTTAATTTCTAATTCTCGCTCAAATTCCAAGCCTAAAAGGCACCGGATCGGACAAACGGCGCTTTTTTTTTTACAGTTAACCGGTCCGATCGCACACGTCGTACGACTCGCAGAGCACGGATGATTTCCCGAATGTGTTCGGTGTCGAACAATCGTACGGCGCGTCAAAGATGGCGTCTTTACACGCGCTTATTACGCTAGACAACTGTCGGCGTCCGTAAGCGTGGCGGTGATATCTCGCCTCTAAAGGCTATACGTGTATCTCGAGACTTGAGCGCTCGCGTGTTCCGTTGCACAGCGGCGTCGTGACGAGACTGATTATCGAAAAGTGGACGATTACGATCCCGGCTAATTACGGCAACGGTAGTCGATCCGATTCAGAGAAATCCCCTACCCCGATCGACATCGTACGAGCTTGCGACCTCGATATTAAACGAGACTGAATTTTTGCTCAAATGGGGGTTTTTTTGTTACAGTCGAACTGGGTTGTAATTGGGCCTAGGGGGATTTTAATGATGATATTTTTGCGATGATAACGTTGGGTCGACAAAAGTGGTCCTTTAAATTTTGTCCGCTTCTTATTTTCTTTGTTATAATTATTAAATGTATAGAGTTTCTTTAAGTATATTTATAGCGATTTGACGTTGTCGAATTGACGGGATAAATGGTGGGTAAGGATTAATAATTTAACAGACAGGTTTAATAAGATCCATCGATACGCGTCAGGACCATTTGCAATAGTGTCACGTGTTCCAGCTTGGAGAATCAATACAGCGCGCCCGGATTTAAGCGTGGATTGTTCAAGTTACAATTACCAAGTTCACGGCTCGTTTACTGTCCGCCTTCGGCTTAATGGAAATCGAACAGACCGACGGAAGCCGTGAAACACGAAACTTCTCTCGCGCGTATTCGAGCGCCGGGGAAAATCGTGTCGAACCGACTCGACGCCTTTCTCATTTTTACGCGTTCAACGCCGGGACACTGGAAATCGGAACAAGAAAATTTACTTGAATTTCCTACTCGTACGTATTATACCGTGTCAATAATCCTTAGTATTTTTCGCAGCATCCGTAGCCCACTTTCGTGTAATCCCTTCGGGAACACTTACTTTCACGCGATCGGTCCGCCGACAGAAATCTTCAGGAAAATCTGCCCTCGATATCCAGCATTGAACGTATTCGAAATAATCCCTGAGAGCACTTGCACATCACCACCGTGGGTCCCATCGCACAGAAACGTCCGACATGTACGTTCACAAATCCCAAGATCCACGTCGTACACCGAACAACATCGCGGTGTCTTTCATCGAAACTGGATCATCGTCCTCTATTCGGCGTCGTATTTCAATTTTAAACCGATCCAGGCTGAACGTCGATTATTAATCCGGCATCCCGTTGGGTGTCCCATGGGACAAACGCGTCGAGAAAACGTTCCCGTTGACGATCGACCTTGGCCGCGAGTCGATCCGGATGACCGTCGACGTGAAACTGCCGGGGATGTTCCGCAGGAGAGACTCGAGTTCTCTAGCCAGTGAGTCGGCTCCTCCACGGTGGAACGAAGAGGAGGAGGAGGATGAAGATCGACGGAGAGAGCCTCTCCTCGGTTGCTCGTTGGTTATTCCCGGAAAGGGTGAACGTCTGCCGTACGTTTTTCGCCGGGTATCACTGCGCGGTGTCTCGATCGGTGACATCTAAGTATCAAGGTGATTAATTGGTCCCGCCTCGATTAGCTCGTGTCGCTTCCGCCGTGACTCGAATGATCGATGCTCGAACGACTACCGTTCGATGATGATCGAGTGCGGTTATGCCTTCTATTATTGAGTCGTGGGACTGACGTCGGGGATTAATGATTGTCTGTACAAGTTTTGGCACGAGACAAGGAAGTTTTAATGAGAAGAACCTGAAATAGACGTGTTTCTGATTACAACTTGATATATATATATATAAGTCGAGTAAAATGTATTGAGATGTGGCCCGTTTGGTGAGTCCTCTTTTTGACGGTGGAATAAATCTTTTTAATATGTTCTGTTGACTATGAGACGATCTTCGTTTAATTCGAATTCAGTCGATTGAATTCTGAAATGTTTCAGGATATATATTTTTAAACTTTCCTTTCCTCGGTGAACGCTTCCACCGAAAGAACTGTGCTCAGTCCCGCGGTAATAACAATTTACTCAAATTCTCTGCGCTTTAGTAAACCGAAGAAATTCAGCGGAAGGAAAGTGGGTCGAAAATTGCTTACCGGTTACGTATGCTACGCTAATTGCCAAGCTGTCTGTCTATAGTTATTAGCCGAAAGCAGCGTGGGAGATGCCATGAAATTCGATAACCCAGCAACGTTTGCATCGTGAAATAGTTTACCAGTGAAATGCAGTCTCATTGTTCATAATCAGATACTCAATCTTAGGGGATAATTTAACAGAAATTCCTTCATCGACAGTTGATGCTTGCAAGAATTAACAAAATTCTCCCATGTTCGATTAGAAAATAAAATACAACAAATTACACGGTATCTAAAAATTCAATGTTAAAGAAAGTAAATACACAGACGAATCCCTTTGTTCGATTAATCTTCTTAAACCCTCGAGGTGCAATCTGGCGTATCAGTCATCACCATAAATCCTCAGGCGAGTGGCCGCCATTATTTGTTACAGTTATCAGTGCATCGGGTGACCAACATTTTTACGCTGACCGGGAAAGGACGGTGTCGGGGTCAAGGAAACAAGGAGACAAGGAGAAGGAGAACACGACGAAGAAGAGGAGGAGGAGGAGAAGATCGTTACAGGAGAAGCTGCAGTCTGGACTCTCTGGTTTCCATTGCTGGTCCTCCACGCCGTGGTAACGCCGTAACCGATAACGGTACCGCGCTTCGACGGCGCTCACCAATGTGAGAGTACAGTTATTCCAACGATGCAGCTCTTTCTCTCTTTTCCACTTCCAACGCCGGCATATTTCCCGTCCTGTTCCCTCGTGCACGATGGCTACGTAGACGTAGACCGTCGATGATCACTCTTACGTTCATTGGGATTGTAGATCGATGGGACGCGAAGAGTGCTCGAAGGCTGCCGGATTGAGGGAACGACTCAGCCTGACAATGCCTGATGGTGATCTCCTAAGCACTGGATGGGCTATTAGTATCGATCGACACTGGGACTGGTGATGGACAGGAATTTTGTGCTCGGTATTCAATGATAGAAGTTGAGGAGGAATCAAGAGATTCAACTTACTCGAAGACCAATGCCAGGATATTAATACGAATTATTTTTCGAGGAAAATTGAAAGTCGCTTAAAGTGGATCATCGGTGACGGGAAAGGGCAACGTTTGGGTGGGCAGTAGCCGATGATGGAGGTCGAGTTGGTAGAAGATTGTACAGGGGAATCAAAACTGGTTTGGGGATCGGATGGTGTGTCGGGGAACAAGTTTTGGTAATGGTTCTATTGGCTATGAGGTTTGTAAGAGTCGGTAAAGACTAGTAAACATGAATCTAGGAACCATTAGGGTCGGTAAAGGGGTACGATTAGAATACCCGCATTTTCGTTACGCCTAGATACACCGGAGCTGTATAGTTGAACTTAAAAAATTCGACTCGCCGATTACATAATGTTCAACTGAACGACGAATATTACATTTCACACCTGTTGCTTCAATTAAGGTTTAATATTCATGGACAGAGGTTCATCCGTCACGGTTACGGCGATTTAATGGGCACTAATCTGACCGTGCACGCGCGGGGATCATGGGTCACGAAGATTTAAATGAACTCGTCTCGCGTTGAAACGATTAACGGTACAGGAGGAACGTTCAGGAACCCTGGAAAATTGCACGTTTTAATGTACCGCACAGGGAACCCGTATTTTCCGCGTTTTTCTTGCCTTTCCAGTGAAAGTAATCGTTTGTAGGATAAATGTACCAGCGATTCCCGCTTTCTATTACGAATTCTTCCAAGAATGGTGCGTTAAACAATTCCCTTAAGAATCACATTTACACAGAATATAATGAAAAATTCTTGCTTCTACGGAAGATATTCCGAGATCGTTCTCGATCGTAAAATTGATGACGCAGGAGGGACGTTCACG